TTTATTCATATCCCGACAAGTGTCTCTGTCAGCTTTGTCATACATCGCCACGTCCGCTTTAATCGCGTCCACCTCTCGCTGGGTAAACTGCAAACTTATCTTTATCTCCTGCATTTCCTTGGTCAAGTCGTCAAATCTCTTGTTATGAGCCTCCATAATTAGTTTCACAAAGCCTTGGAAACTCTCATTTAGCTGGCACATAAGTGCAGTGTGCATACTGCGCTGCCGCTCCATCATCTCAGCAACCTGCGCCGCTGAAAAAGAATCCTCTTCCGCCTCAACACCATTGTTCAGCTCAGATTTATTAGCTCTTTTCCCTTTTGGAGGCATTTTAGTAGTTGTAGAGTTTTGCTCAGAGCTCAATGCCTTGACAATATGAAAAGAACAGAAGTGAAAAATCGTAGAACAGACAGAGAAGACAGAGAAGCAATAAACACGTCTGCTCTTGCTCGCAATCCGGAAGTAAAAAAGATAGGAAAGAGGATCAGAGAAGAAAGAGAATCTATTTATGAATACACGTGTGTGTGTGTGTGTGTGTGTGTGTGTGTGTGTGTGTATAAACACATTTTGGCTATAGAGCTGTCAGATTATGTACAATAGTTTTATTTAAGCTTTATTGCACTGGGGGCTGTTGTCTTGTGTTTACTGACGACTGAAACAGTGAGGATTGGTCTTGCCTCAACCCCCACGCCCATGTGTTGGAGACCAAGCAGGCTGGTCTGTGGTTTCTTTAGGCCGGTCCACCTCAGGTCCTTCCAGTTCCCAGTATGCAGATGTAAATGTGAAGCAGGATAGTGTTGATTAAAAGTTCTTCACTCAGTTTTTTCCCTCAGGATGAATAACGACTCTGTGAATTATGCAGTGTTCCAATTGATCACAATGGGGTGAGATGAGCCGCTGTGCAGAGGCTGGCCTTCAGTTTGCAGACAGGCTGAAAAGCCGCCTTCAGATAGGATAAGGATAATCACCTTTATTTGGCTAAGTATGTTACACACAAGGAATTTGTTTCCGGTACAGAACCGAGGCAGCCAGCTGCAGCGCCAACTCAACCGATGGCTCTAACCATCTGAGGCAACTTTGGGGTTCAGTGTCTTGCCCAAGGACACTTCGACATGTGGACTGCAGGCACTGAGATTTGAACCTCCGACCCACTGAACCACAGTTGCTCCCAGGATGCAGTACACGCTGCATTCGCCACAGGGATAAACAATAAATTGGTGGACCAATGGGATCTCCCTTTTCCATCTCTCTGGCAGTCCTGCTGCAGGTGCTGCTGTAGCACTACATATTTTCAGGATAAGGCCGGTGACTTAGTTTTTTGCTGTTTTGCCCAAATCCCCTTATTGGAAACAGATGGTGTCCCATGTTTCCTGAGGAGGAAACCTGCCCCCGAGTGGCTCACTGGGGGGGTTAATAGTTGGTGGACAACAATTGAGGTCTACGGCACAGAGTGACAAGCTGAACCAGGGTCTGGACTCACATTACGGGTTGAACAACACAATCATAGGTGCTGTTGGTCTCTGGATGGGATTTGTGGGAAGTAATTTAAAACCAAATCGCCAGCTCCATCCTTTGAAATCATTATCATAATGGACTATTCTCTATTTTTTTGGATCTTTCACTTTGGGGAAATTGGTCGCAGGCAGGGGGTTTATGATGCAAAACCAGTTTTCTTCCTTCTGTTTCAGTTTTGACATAATCGTCTTCTTCTCTCCTCAGAGTCATCTACTGGTGATCACAAGCTGCTTCGCTTCCCTTCTGATCACCCCAGTCATCTCTCTCCACCTCTGCACCGTCAACATGACTTGAACCCAAAGCACCATGGAGACGAGTCCCACTCCCGCCACCACCATCACCACCACCAGCAGCATGAGCACTTTGTCAGGTTTGCCAAAGTGATGCCAGCTGCTCTGTTTCGTCAGGAGCTCGGCGGTCAGCAGACGCTCAACCTGCTGGCACGGCCCCATCACGAGGTGCAGCCGGACCATGCCATGGTGTCTGCACGGCATCTGGTTACTGTGGTGAGTAATCTGCTCCCTGCTTGCGAAATGTTTTTATTTTCCAGTCAGAGGTCAGGTCGTTCAAACTATGTTGGGTGGGACAATGATGCTGTTCTACGTTTTCTTACTGACTAAGTTTATGTAGATATTGTTAAACACCGGGGATCATGCTAGCTAGCTCTGTCTGCTTATTTCCAGTGAATCAGAAATATGAAACACAGAAACAAAAAAGACATGAGACAGTTGTTTAGATAGAAGTTCCCCAGAAATGTAGACTTGTTTGGCCAGATTTTGAGGACACAGCCAGTGTGTCCTGGTGATTAATCTGGAAGTTTTCAGCTTTGCGAGTGGACAAATGCCTGAATATGTCTGTACTTTGGTCTCTGAGGTTCAGTTGTTTGATTTTCAAGGAATGGCCAGTTTCAGCCGTCAGGTTCCTGATGGACCGTGACCTTTGAATGATGCTTACATCTGGAAGTTTTATAGCAAACCTGTGGCAGGCAGGTACACGCTGTGATCTCAAGGACACAGGAGGTCTGTACCAATTAGAAATCTGCTCTCCTGTGGAACTGGTGTCACACACTGTCTCACAACAGATCACCTGCAGATCATGCAGCCTGTTGCAGACACAGGGTACCACATTTTCCCGTTTTATCTCAGAAAAGCAGTACATTTCAAAGCTGGAAACCCTGATGGAAGTCTGACATTTCTCCAGCTTTCATGTATGGCTGCACGATTGATCGTTTTTTTGATCCCTGTGTGATCTCAGTCTCAGGTGGCAATGATTTTGCCCTGTTTGCATTAGCAGGGAGATGCCTTGCATCAAACCAGGTGCTCCCTTTTCCTCACTAAACTGCTTTAACCAGTAGTAGGAACGCATTACATCGTGATGAGCTATAGACAGGAAGTGAAGACCGAGTCAAATCCAAAATGTCTGACACTGTGAAAGATATTTTGTGCTGTCCTGCAACTATTTTTCATATGCTCAGAAATAAATCACTCTGCGGTTATTAGTTGCAGTTATTGGTTACACAGCTTGGCGAGGAAAAAGGAGCGCTTGGTTTGATGCAAGGGATCTCACTGCTAATGCAAACACTGTAGAATCATAGATCGCACAGGGATCTAGATCACGCTCACAAAATGATTTATCGTGCAGCCCTAGTTTAATGTATCGGCCTCCTCATCACTTCACACACCTGACGTTCTCATGTCTTCACTGGAAGTGATAAGTGACGTTTAAGTTGTGTTTCACGCACGGCTGTTTGTCGCATTTTTATTTTTAAAAAATTATTTTTTTATGCAAAAAACTGAAAAGGCAGAGGGGTGCTGCTGTATACTGGACTTTATCAAGCACATCAAGTCCAGCCTGAAGTCAGTAAGGACGAGCTGTTTTAGATGCAGTACGGTGTCATTAGCTGCAAAACTGAGTCCACTGACAGCTCCATAAATGTGAGACTTTGGTGATTAATTCTCCAACAAATACAAGTTTGGGAGCTGCTGGTACTTTTCGTTTTAAACACAAAACAGTAAATCTGTGAATTAAGAAGAACATCAGATTAATCGATCATGCCAATATTTGGGTGCAGCAGCTGGATGAGATTTTTGTTTACTTTATTATCAGCATCAGGAAAACATGAGTTTGAATGACAGTCTGACTTGGACAACCAGCTGAACTCCAGCGGCTGATCACTGCACATTAGAAGTTTGTGGAAGCTGTGTGTCTCGGCTATGTGGCGTCTCCGCCGAGGCTCCCTGATGTGAGCATTTGATAAAAGTGTCATCTCTTCCTTCAGTGACCTTACTGCCAGCTAATACTGAGGAGGTCAGAGGTCAGAGCAGATGGACAGCTAATGGGGGATGGAGGAGAAGCTGCAGACTGCTCCATCTACAGTGCTGGAGGAGAGATGCTGCTCTCTCTGTCACCATGGAAACACTAATGATGAGTGTGCGAGACCCACTTGCCTACACAACGGGTGGCTGCATAGGTCTTAGATAAACAGCAGCGACCTTCAGAGAGGCATTCAGGCAGAGAAGCACTGTATGTACTGAGAGATAAAAGTGGTCGAGCGACCTAGAGATGCAGTGAGATAGGAGGAGAGAGAGAGAGAGAGAGAGACGGAGGTAAACACCAGAAGGTCTGTAACATGTTATTCTGCCATACAGATGGACTCATCCTGATGGCAGCTTCAGACTGTTTGCAGTCTGTGTGTACAGCCTGACTGCAGGACACAGAGTTAAAAATGGCAGCGTACAGACTAAAATCTCACTATTTCTGACTCTGGCATTGACGGATGCTTTTATCCCATGCTGCAAAATTCAGTGAGAGGAATGGATGAGCTGCTCACAGCTGGAGAAAGAGGCTGAAATGTGTGTTTTAGAAAGCACAGAATGCATTCATAATGCTTTTGGTTTCACCAGTTGTTACTGAAATATGCTCACTTTTTAAAAGTTGTTTCCACACTATTTTATATCAAACTGTGGCTGCAACTTGATTACTAATGACTTTATTATTCTCTTGATGAATTTTCTTTATAAAACTATTTAATGGCAGACGATAGAGGTAATATAATTTTCCAGAGTGCAGTTTAGATCATATTTGACCAAAAAACAAATTTCGAAGAAGCTGAAACCAGGAAGTGTTATTTATTTGTTGTTTTTCAAACCATTTGATTTATGTCCTGTCATCCTGTGCACGTCATTAACACACAGGATGTTATTGCACAGTATCGGTAAATTGCACACAGGCTGATTCACAGCATTTATTTTTAGTAGAAAACAGACTATTGATTTAACTGAGTATCTGCAGCTGTGAAGTCTCACCACCAATATTCTCATAATCCTCAGCCAAATTGGTCAGAGGTGTCATCGCCACAGATGCATTGTGGGAGTGGAGACAGTCTGGAGAAACCAAAAGACAGACGGGGAATGCTGCTTAGTTACATTTTACAGATGTATTGATTCACTGATCAGTCATGAAACGAACAGGCACATTAACCAACAATAAGTTCAGTTTGAACAGAATTATCAGCAATAAACTATTAGTAGCATTTTATTTAGCAGCAGAAGAGTTCACAGGATTGTTCAAGTCCCAGATGGTACCCAGTCACCTCCTGTCTCTGCATCACCCCACATGCCTGCAAGTCGCTGCAGTGTGTGTCGGGTTCTCAGCACGTGGAAGCTGGTTGACCCGCACGCAGTCTGCTGTAGTCAGGTGTGTGTGTATGTTAGTCTGTTTGTTGATGCATCAGACTGCGAGTGTTGTTGGTGAGACTGAAAGATCCTCTGTCATAAACTGTCCAGCCTGAGTCCCACACTGTTGTGGCAGCACGAGCAGAAATCCAGCCCTACCTCTGTCCAGATGAAAAACAGCGGTTCTGCCATTGTTGTCGGTCATGACACTGTTCTGTACAGGCTGTTGTCACCAGAGCTTGATGAGCCTCGTCTTGACTGTGTCCACAGAGTGCAAACTCTTGTCTGTGCTGTGTCGTTATGTTGTTGTCTCGGTACTGAGCCGACTTCACGAGTAACTGTAGGAAATGGGACCGCGGATCGGCTCACATTGCTGCTGACCAAAACTGCCAGATTGCTGGTCATTCAGGTGGTTAACAGGACCCTGAGATCTGGCTTACGCTGCTTTTCAAATGAGAACTGATTAGGTCGGAATATGAGCCCGTTCTAAAATTAGTCGGGGGCGACTGCCTCAGGGCTAAAATCAGGCTCAAGCCATACAGTGTCTGCCTAGCTTTACCTGCAGGTCACTGTTTTTATATTAGTAAAAGATGTTTAAGCATTCAGACTCAATCGACTCTTTAAGTTCAAATCTCAGCCAGCACACGAGTGGTGAAGACGAGCCGTGTGTGTGTTAATGTATTAAATAATTCACATCAAGGTGTGTTACGTCTGCTCAAGAGATGACTTTGACGCCACTTCAAACCCACAGAGAAACATGATTCATCCAGGACTTTGTGTTGCTCAGGTCACTTCTAACGGCTGAGGCCTCGTCTCTCTAACACATTTTATCTGAGTGATATCAACATACAGTATTTGTTCATGGTGCAAAAGACAGCAGTAAAGATGGTTTTAATGCACCTGGCAGATCCTCAGCCTGCTGTTTATTGCAGACTTATTTTGGCTGATTATTGTAACGTATTGATTTCAGGTAACTGGTGATAATGGCCTGTGGTGTTGCTGCAACTATTAGTCAACTGTCAGAAAATAAACAGTAGTTTTTAGTCATCTTTTAAAAGAAACATGTTTTCTGGTTTCTTTGTTCTTTTTAACTGAGTTTGAATTGGATCCATTTTCTGACATCTTGTTGTTCATGTAGCTAATGAAAATATTATTTAGTTTCAGATGTCGGATCACAGCACTGAACTGGAGCCTGCTTTTCTCAAAGGAAGCAACACGGGCCTGAATAAGCTAACCTCACATCAACCCACTCATTCAGGTGCACATGTGTGTGTGAGCCCACTGAGCTGCATGTCGCACTGTGATGCTCACGTTTTTCCCGCCAGTGCTCTGAGGAGAACTAACACCCCAAAACACAGCCGGCCTCGGCAGTTGTTTCTTTATTCAGGCCGATACATGGAAACTTAGATGAGTTGTTTTTCTGTGCATCGGTGACCAAGCAATATGGACAATGTCAGAAAGTAAACCTCTGCAGCTGCTGAGTGGAAACGGTTAAAAACAACCCTGTTGTATGGTAGCAGGAAACAAACACTAAAAACCAGTATGTAGTGATATTGTAGTGCATTTCACAACAGCCAGATTTGATCAATATTGATGTGATTTTAATGATCTTATGATGTTATGGTAATGATTCAAGGTGAAAAACTATAAAGAGAATCAGGAAAATGTTTGAGTAATAGATCTGAGGATGTTACTTTGGCCTCTGGATGACCATGTGAGACGGTTCCTTTAGTTCTGGACATTTTATCAACTATTAATCATGAAAATCTGAAGATCAGTATAATTAAAAAAATGCAGCTGCAGACACGAATAATCTGCTCATAACTAGATTATAGATTGTTATAAATGTTTGTAATCTTAGAGAAAAGTGTTGTGAATCATCACATTCTGGAGACTGGAAGAAACAAACATGTTTATTTCTTAGAAAATGACCCAAAGGAGTAACTGATTACCAAAACAGCCGCAGTAAAATTGATTTGCATTATCATGTCTCAGATTTGTTTGGAGTACACTGGGAATCTTCTTTGCATTTTTGAACAACTTTAATTTTTTGTTCTGTTGAATCGCCCATCCCCTTCTTGTCAACCATTTTGTATTATTTCCTTTCTGCACAATCCCCCCCCCCTCCCCTCTCTGGTACCTGATTGGTCCAAATTGGATTCCCCCTACTGCCCTGAGGGCTAACTGCTAATTAGCAGTTATTACCCGTGTGTGTGTGTGTGTGTGTGTGTGTGTGTGTGTGTGTGTGTGTGTTGGACGGAAATAGCTCTTGATCCTGATGGGAAGCACAGTGGGATAATGGCATTACCTGGGCAACAGCCAAACAGGTGGCAGGTAGAGTGCCGTCCCCCTCTAAGCCAATCGGAGATCACAGCACGGTTGGACCAGGAAATAGAGCGCAAAGACCCTGAGCTCTGACTGACAGGCAGGCTGTGTTCACTGAGTGAAAAGCTTCCTGTGCTCGACAGGGAGGATCAGCAAAGTTTACATGTTTACTTGGCAAGGTTGGTTGTTTATGTAGAAGTTTTTATTTCTACTTCAGGCTGTAGTTGTTTGTGTGATATGTAGCTTTTTATTTGTGTAGGGTTTTGGGCTGCACCTAATGATTTGTTGCAGAACTTTAGGCAGCCACAGTTCTGATAATTAATCATTTGAGACTTATTTAAAAGCAAATCTGGCAAAATTTGACTTTTTCCAGCTTTGCAAATGTGAATATTCTCTGGTTTTCTTGTTTTTTTCTGAAAGTAAACCAAATATTGTGGTGCTTTGCACAGAAAAAAGACATTTGAGGATGAGTATTTTTCCTCAGATTTGTGAGGCGTGCATCAAAGGCTTAATTGATGAATCTAGACAGTAGAAATCTGAATCAATAATGACAATAACCACTAATTGTGTCCC